TTTTTTGGATAATTATTATTATCATATTTGAAATACAATTTTCGTTGTATCAGATTTATTCTTATCAGGATTTCATTATAATGAATCATTTAATTTATCTTAAATATATGAGTGAATGATTAAGAAATCATTTAAGATTGTGATTACTTTTTTCGTGATTTTTTTGTCGTAAACAATCTTATCGTATTATTATTTGGTTTTTTGTGAAATAAACAATTTTTAATTTAACTGTAATGATGCAAAATTTGCAACGAATGCAAGACTTTGAATTGTATATATATATATATGAAGTGTTCAAAAAAAAGTGATGGCAAATTGAAAAAATAATAATTTAGATTGTGTAATGAAGGAATATAATTTTTGTTTAATTTTTATTTAACTTTTGTTTGTCTAATTATAAAAATAATAATTAGAAAAATACAATATGTTAATTAATGATTTTAAAACGTTAATAAAATATATCTTATTATAAAATAAAATAATATAAATAAATATAAATATAATAATTATAAAATGGTAAATGATTTTAAAACGTTAACAAAATATATCTAGTTATGAAATAATAATTATAAAAATTCTATATGTAAATTAATGATTTTAAAAACTTTTAATAAAATAAATTTATAATTAAAGAATTATGAAATGGAAACAAAATAAATAAATCATTCAATTTGTATTACCTATTTCCTATATTTTATTGTATATACAACAACGTGTTCAAATACATATATACAATATTTATATATATATTTATTCACATATCAATGTTGTGTGTGAACATATCAATGTTTGATATACTCACATTTATGTATAATTTATATATATTTATTTGATTGGAATAATAACTGTCGGTACCTTTGTAGATTTAAAAATCATTGCCAAATCTAATTGTAAAACAGACGTTTTGCAACGAGCTGTAAATAACATTTAAACAGTTTCTGGTAAAAGATATTCGTGCCAAAAATTTTCCTCTCATCTTGCAATCCTATTCTCTCTTTCCTTCTTATATATATATCTCTGTTCAACTTATTTATTATCAATTATATAACAGTGATTATGTAGTAATATATAAATAATAGTTAATACAAGTAATACATATATATATATATATACATAAATATAATATAAATAATTAGTTAATATAAGTATATATATGGTATATACTCTTATACTCTCTCTCTCTATATATATATATTACTTATATTAACTATAATATTAACTGTAATTTTTATATTACTATATAATCGCTGTTATAGTATAAGTTATATATATAAATAGTAATACAGTAATATATATAGTAATATATAGTAATATATAGTAATATAAATAATATAAGCATATAAGTAAATAAATCTATAATAATATAAATAATAAAACGAACCCTATCCTTTTTCCTCCACCCCCTTTTCCCCACGCCCTTTCCCTTTTATTATTTTTGACAATTCCATCGTCAGATATTTTTCCGATAAAATTATTCGGTTTATCAAAATATCACTCCATTCTTCCTTTTTGTTCACTCGTGCCAACTTTGCCAACTTTCAACTGGTTAACGCGTTCTCTTTCTACACACACATTCACACACACACACACACACAAACACATACATATATATCTTCTTATTCAATGTTCGTTTTATAGTAAAATGTACGATAGTCTTTTGCAGGATGTATACTAACACTCACCTAACTGCTATTTCCTCGTTCTAACTCTCGTTTCCGAGATTCCAAGTCCCCCTTAACCCCTCTCCCCCTCCCCATCCTCTAACC